ATAATTTTAAGTTATTACAAATATCGACTAAAAACATACCAATTAAAAACAAAATTCATCATACCTTCATCTTTGGCTTTAATATTGTTTCTTTCAAATGATCCGTGGCTTCTTACGAATATAACACATAATATTTGAACAAAATTTGATAATTCTGCCGTTTTTGGAACTTTTTGGACAAGTTATTTTCGGTTTCATATTCCTTTTATTTTTACTTCCCGTAAGCTGAGTATAATTTTTCTAAAAAAATATATATATATTTTTATCCCCACAAAAAAAACATGACGTAATCACAAAATTTCGCTATATGTAGTTCAATAATCCACCTCCATTTTATTTTAATATATAGGGTGAGTTACTAATTGCGCGGTTGTATATATCTCGGGTGTGGGTTACTTGCGCGTCGCAGTTAAATTACCCCATGTGGGGGGTTAATTCCCAAAACTGGCATAGGAAACTTGCGAGCAAATAGGGTATTATAAGGGTACCTAGCTGATAAGAAGCTTACTACATTACAGTTCTATGAGTATCATACTAAAGTCTAGCAGTACGAGGACAAAAAGATCCGTCACCATATATGCTTTTATAAAAAATCGTTCTTATATTTAAGTTTGCAAAAAATTAAGTAATTTCTCAGCTAAATGTTATATTTTTAATGATTTAAGAGCAATAAAAATATTTTCAGCTCTATATACGTATTTGATGATTAATAAATACGTGTATGATTGTGTAAAAATTAAGTTAAGTATTTCCCCGAGAACTCACATGTTTTGCATAAACTATTACAACGAACAACAACTGTTTATGGTATTAACCCTTAAAATTATTAGCAATTTTTTCTGACCACTACCCGCAACTGTCCCTTATCTCTCAGATAGTTTGGCGCAATTGTCCGGTCATATTAGGACCACCAGCAGATTTTTATGACCGTGGCGTGCAACTGACCCATGACCAGATATCTCATTCATTATTAAAAATTGAAAAAAAGTCGGAGAGTAAAGCAGTAGAGTTCCTCCAGTATCATTCATTGAAATTATTTTCGATTGTACAGAATGTTTTCTCCTTGAACCCTAACATACACCTCAGTTTTGTTTTTTATAAAGAACGCCCTATTCATTTTTATATATTCTCTTAGTAAGCTTTATTATAACTAAAGAATATTTTTGAAATTCCGATGCGATGTTGCCACGTTATTGCAATTTTCTTCAAGTCACAGAAAAATTGGAAATACTGTTATTTTTAATAGCTGTATTCCAATATTTTACGACGAGATAAACAGAGGTAGGCGCTTTGGTGTGGTACCAATTAAATCAAATTTTAATATATCGGGTGTCTGGAAAATGGGGGGTTAACTCTTCAGTACGTTCAGTATGGGATTTGGGAAGTTCCAAAAAAATAATAAAAATCAAAAAAAAACATTTCACAAGACATTACTATAAACAAAAACAAAACCAACAAAAGAAAAATCCATTGAAGCATAACCGACTAAATAAACACTAGAGAAGATGTTCAAAATTCCTGCCTTGTGCATATAAGTAAGCTCGTAATATTTCCAAATTTTGATCATTTTTCGTAAAAGTTAGTCATCAGTACTTGCTAAGACAAAACTGATTTTGACAAATAACATACCCTCTGAGGGAGGATGGGTGGGCGGGGCTAGTAGCTACTAATGTAAAACTGATTTTGGCAAATGGAATTTTATCAAATTATTACAAAACCAACCCAACCATATCTTTTTATATTCTAACTAATTAAATATGGTCATGAGCGAGAGAAATATTAACTAAACGTTTTATTACTAGTTATTGTGATGCAACTCCACCAAAATGTGAGAAAGAATTTTTTTATTATTTTTCTCAGACTCGCCAGTTGTTTGTTAAGAGCGTAGCTTGAGTTAATACGCCATTTTCCAGACACCCGGTATATAGCAAAAAAGATCTAAAACGTTACAATTTTCAAATATTGACATTGAATATGACGGTTTACTCTATTTTTAGCCTCGCAAAGAGTTTAAGCCTTTGTCTGACTGTGGTACCATAGCTACCAAACGGATGAACCGATTTCAATGCGCTTTTTTTTTGAAACTTGATTTAATCGTGATGCTTCTTAACCATGTTTAATAATGATCGCTTCAGCCACTTCAAGATCATCATCTCATATCGCGCAAAAGTGAGGATGGTGCGTCGACCGTCACAGCGAATCTTAACCAATTTCAGAATTTTTAAGGTTATATTTTTATCCGCGGTTTTTAAGTTCCTTCACTTGTTTTTCATTTTTTTTAAATATGTCAGTATGTCTCTCAAAAAAGTAAAAAATCGCGATAACTAGCAACATTAAAATTAGAAAATACTTAAGAAAAAGGGTGGAGAACAAAAAGAGAATAAAATGCAATGCAACAATAAAATACAGAGTGTTCTCTATTTGAAAAAAAAACTGAAATATCGATATCTGAAAATTGTAACAATTGATTTTTTACTAGTGCAAGCTATGGAAGTACATATTGTAAATGGATTCATCGGACGACTGGTTATTTTCGTGTTTTGTCGACGTTTCATGATCCCTATTGTAACTCTCCCGTTTGCGTCTGTCTGTCTATTTTTTATTATTAGTATTACACTGCACGTGTTGGAACTGACATACGTGTTCTTACTGAAATGTTGATGGCGACGTGTTCTAATAAGAAAACTCACTATCAACATAACCTTACCTGACCTAATCTGACCGTTCACCCAATTTCCTCGCTCTCGCGCAAGACGAAATATGAACAAGACGTCATTAGAGTGTATCTTTGTGTGTTAATGCGTTCGAATCAAAGGTAGTAAGCAGAGTATGATGGATGATACACTAATGAATTCAGAAAAACAAGCTTAACAAGAATCCCAAAAAATAGAATCTATCATATGGTTATAAAGATTCAAAGAAACGGTATTTGTTGTATCAAACTTTTTTTCAACCCTTCGAAAAAATTTCAATAAAATTTATTTTCGGATAAATTTAAAGGAATTTGGTGTTTTGTTGCGGGATGAATCTGAAAAAAACTTTTGAGCTTGCTTAGTTGAAAAAGTCTTGAGTGTTTGGGTACCCACGGTGTATTATTTTGGGAGCCCATGAAGATTTTTTTTGTAAATTATTTAAAAGAATTTTGGGGAACTTTGGTGCTCTATTTTTGGAAAAATCTGAACTGACCTGTTTTTAAGTTAATTTTGGGACTTTTGAAAAATTTAAAACAATCTGGAGGTTCTAGGTATTCCTGTTTGGAAAGAATTTGAAAGTGCTTTGGAGCTTGTAGTGTATTTTCTTATAATGGTTTAATTAAATTTCTATGAGGATACGTCATTTCTAAAATCAGTCTTATCTTAACAGTGCTAGCCCCGCCCACCCACCCTCTCTTTTCTTAGAGGGTATATCATTTTCCAAAATAGGTCTTATTTTAGCAGCTACTAGCCCCACCCACCCACCCTCTCTTTTCTTAGAGAGTATGTCATTTGCCAAAATCAGTTTTATCTTAGCAGGTACTAGCCCCGCCCACCCGCCCTCTATTTTCTTAGAAAATATATGATTTACCAAAATCAGTCTTAACAACTACTAGCTCCACCCACCCGCCCTCTCTTGTCTTAGAGGGTATATATATCTTTTGCCAAAATGAATCTTATTTTAACGGCTACTTGCCCCGCCCACCCACCCTCTCTTTTCTTAGAGGGTATTTAATCTGCCACAATCAGTCTTATCTTAGCAGGTATGCAGTATTGTATATACAGATTGATCAAAGAAAATATAATAAGTTATCTAAGAAAATACATGATGAAATTGTTTAAAATTCATAGGAAAACACTAGCATTGATGTAAAGATTACAGAAAATTTAACAAAAATCATCTCATCCAACAAATTGATGACGTCATCTGAAAACTTTTCCGAAATAATAGCCCTTCGAATGAATTTTTTTGTGGTTCAATGATACCCTCTTATTTTTACTTTACTTATAGAAAATAGATAATAATTTCCTTCGAAAAACTTTAGTAAATGCTTCTAGTTTAACTAGAAAAAAATAAATAAATAAATAAACAGAATAAGCCAAATATTTGGAAAAAACTCCATAGAATTATCCAAATCTGTATTGTTTTCAAATTCTTACACCAACTAGTTTCTTGGTTTTAATGTCAACATACTTTTTTTAAGAATAGCAAATTTTACGTCACTTAAAAGTGCATTTCTTTCAAAGGCATTTAATCCTTTTACTTTTGCCGAAAAAACAAGTGTCAAGCAAAATAAATCGATAAATTCCAAAAATCGACATCGAAATAACGAACTCCTTTCAGTTTACAACAAGTGGTCAAAGAGCTCGCCAATTATTTCGTAACACGAATGAAGCTTTATTACGTCCTTAAATTCTAGGACCCAGTAATGTTTTCATGAATATTTATATTTACTGTTCAAGATTCAGGGTCCGTGAGAAGAACTATGTAAACTCTAGATTACTTATTCTGCTAAAAATTCAGAAGGTGTAAATACACCATATAAAGAATTATCTTCATTAATAAATTAGAACCAAGTATCATATTTTTCCTTTGATGATATACTTTATTCACACAAGCGTATGACACACTTTGCTCCCTCACGATAAAGATTAATATTTCATGAATGAAAAGACTCTTCTTTATAAGTTATCTCCTTATGCTTATACTTTTTGCGAGTTTGTGTATTTTAATTTTTAAATAGTAAACACCACTCTGAAATTTGGAAAATGCGGCATGTAAGAAAAAATATTCCTATCATTTGATCAAAATACAATCTCTGTTTTCACAAATCCCTAAAAATATCGTCAGTAAACATCCTTGAAGACCCTGAAAAAATAATGTAGAAAGCTCGGGCACAAATTTCACTGCAAAGTTCTTCATAATCACAGCGACCCCGAGTTCGACAACAAGCTTAATTTTGTGTAGAGAACTTTCGCCAAGACATCATCCACGATACGCTAATAAAAGAAAAAAAAAATACATACTGGCCATTTTCTAGACGTGATCAACAGGCGATCCTTGCACGTCCGCCGAGGTAACAGTCACGTAGCACTGCAGGGGCCGATCCTCCGGTTCGGGTCGTCTCCCCGGCAGGTAGTACACCAAGCATGTGACCCCCACCAGGAACAAGAAGAACACGAACACGATGTCGAACATGATGAGGGAGTTCCACGTGAGCAGTCGCATCACAGGCGGTGTCGTCGGCCAATAAAGGCATCAACGCACAACATTACCAACCGCCACCCTTTCGGTGAATGCAATAAATGAACCGTACACATCCACGTCACCAGTTTTATTTAATTTCCGATTTTATCTTCGCAAGTGCGTCTCCTCTACGAAACCACTACAAACACGGCCGTAAATGAGCCGGCAAAAATTGATAAGCCGTCGTACCATCAGAAAAGTATAAATTTTGCCCTTGATACTTTCTCAACTGCTGGGGTAAACAGCAAAATTGGGGTGATAAATCGGGGCATAATTCTGAGAAAATGTAATTAACCCGGACCAACCCTTTTCTCTGAGACGGGTTCCGAAGTTGGAGGCAGTTATTTCCGTGCGAGGACCCCCTTATGTAAATAATTACTTTTATATAATATTTGATGTTTTGTAATGCAAACTTTGATACGGCGCGTCTAAACTCCGCGTCCTAACTCCATCTAGAATTCTTCGCTATTCTTGCACGGTACAAGGTAAATTTAATATTTAACGATTCGAGCGAAACTTTTAATAACTTATGTAAATTTTGGATTTTATTAGCTGTGTTTCCTCGAGAGATGATTTCGTGATGGAATAAAAGAGAAATGTTTGAGGGGATGCGTTTTTCGTTTTTTGTTTTACCCGAATTTCATATTTTTCATCCACCGAACCAATATTTTCAATTAATTATTATAGTTCTAAAAAACGTGAACATAAATTTACATTAAAATGTGTTCATAGTATTATAACAAAATTTTCATCTCACCACAAAATAATACACATAAAGGCTGCTGCCACGCTGAAATGGACAAAACATAGCGCCCAACGACCCTCCATAAGAATCAATGGGGAAACAAAGGCCTCCGGCGACCTCAAAAAAAGAAACTAACAGCTGCTCTATTTTAATGACATTAAAAAAACAATAAAAATGTTTGTGTTCACCTTTTTATTGTCGTAAAATTAAGGAAGTATTGTAATCAAGTCCATCGACCGATTCTTTGTGTTTTTTCGACCTTTTATGACCCTTAGAGTACGTCTGCCTGTCTGTCTGTCTGTATGTCTGTCGTCTGTCCGGATTTTTATTAGACTGATAATCTCCGAAACAACTGGAGCGATTGTTGTTTTTTTGTATGTATAAATATTGGGACTATCATCTGATTCTAAATGGTAAAACACCAACCAAAAATTGGCCAATCAACCCCCTAACAATTTAATGACGTTATCTCCAAAATTTATTTTTATTTTAGCCTGTACTAGCCCCGCCCACCCGCCCTCTATTTTTTAAGAGGGTATAACATTTGCCAAAATCAGTCTTATTTTAGCTTGTTATTGTTATTAATTTTATTCGATAGGTTTTAATTTTTTAAACTCATTTAGACTTGTGCTCGAGCAGCATGTACTAGCCCCGCCCACCCGCCCTTTATTTTCCTGGAGCTTATATCATTTGCCAAAATCATTTTTATTTTAGCAAGTACTAGTAGAGTATGAATTAGTGTTGAGTTTTCACTGTACACATTAAAATCTTTGAAAAAAAAATTGTATAACAACATTTTGCATTTTAACTTTGGAACCGTAAAATCGAAGGCTCCGAAATCTGGCAAACGTTTTAAAGGTTATCGTAAGCATGGTAAATACCTCATCAAAATTTATTTCTTTATCGCCTTCCAAAAAACTGACGACGTCATCTCAAAATTTTGAGAGATAAATTCTCTCTGAAATGTACAAAATATTATGATTCATACACAGGGTAACCCAAAAAAAATAATGAATGAGGCATGTACTAATTAGAACAAAAACGACTCACTCGATTGACCAGAAAATTTGCAAATACAGTGTTATTATTATTAGTATTACGCTCCATCTATCCAAGTTGATATATGTACTTGTAAAAATGTTGATGACGTTATGTCAAAATTTTGTAATTTATTTTTTAACTAATATAATAAATAATGAGGGTTATCATAAAAAAAAATAAAATTTGCCAAATCAAATCTTATAACTTTTCGAAAACCCTGGATTTATTTACCTTCAATGTTTCGTTTTTTTCATTTTCTATCATTTTTCAAGTTTTCAGTGCTTCGGTTTCATAATATTTCGTTCTTTTAACTTTAATTTTTTCAATTTTTCAATTTCTCCACGCCCAAATTTTTGGTTTTTCGTTTTTAATTTTTCGATTTTTCAATTTTTCCTTTCCTCAATTTTTCAAGTTCTCGATTTTTATTTTTTATTATCCCGATTTTTTAATTTTCATTTTTGCAATTTTATAAAATCATTTTTCGTTTTTTCACTTTGTTAATTTTTTCAGTATTCCTATTTTAAAATTTTCGGTTTTTTCATTTTCCAATTTTTAAATTTTTCAGTAGCAATTTTTAGATTTCAGATTATCCGATTTTCCGATTTCCCGATTTCTTTTAATTTTCAATATTTCGATTTTACAATAAATATGTATTTTATTTTTTCGATTTTGCACTTTTTCGATTTTTAAGTTTTTCAATTTTTATCATTCGATTCCATTTTTGATTTTTTATTTTTACGATTTTCCAATTTTCCATATTTTTTGATCCGAAAAAAAACCGAAAAACTGAAAAAATGAGGAACTGGAAAATCAAAAAAGTGAAAACTAATATTTCAGTTTTTGATTTTTCAATTCCTCGATTTTCCAATTTTTAAATTTATCAATTTTGCAACTTTTGAATTTCCAAATAAGTAGTATCCGATTTTCCGATTTCTTTAATTTTCAATATTTCGATTTTACAGTAAATATGTATTTCGTTTTTTCGAATTTGCACTTTTTCGATCAGTTTTCAATTTCTAGTTTCATCAATTTTTCAAGTTCTTAATTTCTAATTTTTACATTTTTCAAAGTTTTCATTTTGTACTTTTTCGTTTTTTCATTTTTGATTTTTTAATTTTACGATTTTGCAAATTTCCATTTTTTTTATTCAAAAAAAAATCGAAAAATTAAAAATTAAAAAACTAAAAATCCTAAAAAAACCGAAAAACTGAAAAAATGAGAAACTGCAAATTCGAAAAAATTAAAACTAATATTTCAATCTTTGACTTTTCAACTCTTGGATTTTCCAATTTTTAAATTTTTAAATTTTTCAATTTTGCAATTTTTGAATTTCCAAAAATATCCGATTTTCCGATTTCTTTAATTTTCAATATTTCTATTTCACAGTAAATATGTATTTCGTTTTTTCGATCTTTTCGATAATTTTTCAATTTTTCGTTTCTTCAATTTTTGAAGTTCTTGATTTCTAATTTTTAGAGTTTTCGAAGTTTTCATTTTGTACTTTTTCGTTTTTTCATCTTTGATTTTTTAATTTTACGACTTTGTAATTTTCCATTTTTTTTATCCGAAAAGTTGATTAAAAAAATTGAAATTTTCAAAAATTGGAAAACCAAAAATGCGAAAAAAATTGAAAAATTGGGAAACTGAAAAAACGAGAAACTGCAAAATCGGAAAAGTGAAAATCGATAAATTTCATATCAAAGAACTGAAGAAACGAAAAATTGAAACATGGAAAAACTAAATATCCAAAAACTTAAAAATCGGAAAAAATTAATGAATCGAAAAGTTAGAAACAACGAAAAACAACTCGTATTGAAAAACTTTAAAAGTAGAAAAACTGTATCACTAAAAAATCGAGAAATTGAATGATATTAAAAACGACAATTAAAAGTCGAAAAACTGAAAAATCGAATAAAAAAAATTTAAACCCAAAAATTGAAAAATGCAAAAATTCTAAAATCGAAAAATTGAAAAAGTGTTTTTTTTAAATTATGTATAATTATTATTGTATATTTAAAACGAAAACTAGAATAACTGCACATCAAAAATCGAAGAAACGAAAAATTGAAAAAATAACAAACTGGAAAATCCACAATACAAAAAACGAAAAAAATTAAAAATTTGAAAGTTGAAAAATTGCAAAATAGAAAACCGGAGAATTGCAAAACGGAAAATTACTAAATCTAAAAATTAAATAGCCAAAAGTTGGAAACCTGACAAATTTAAAAAGGAAAACTCGAAGAGTTGCGTATCGTATAATTGAAGAAAACAAACGAAAAACTGAAAAATTGCAAATTCAAAAATTGAAGAAACGGAAAATTGAAAAAAAAATGAGACAGAAAGACCAAAAAATTACAAAATCGGAACATTGAGAAATCCAAAAATTATAAAAATAAAGAAAATAAGAAACCTAAATCAAAAATTGCAAATCAAACATTCCAAGAAATGGAATATTAAAAATCAAAAAATTGAAAAACCAGAAATTGAAAACTCGAAAAATTTTAAATCGAAAAATGACAAAATATAAAAATTAAAGAAACAAAAAAAAAATTAAAAACCGAAACGAGAAATGGAAACATTAAAAATTGGAAACTCGTGAACTGAAAAATTTAAACTTCAAAACTCGAAAAATTTCAAATAGAAAAACTGATCACACAATAACAAATAAATTTGAAGAATTTATACATTCAAGACAAAAAAGCTGCAGGAATTTTTTACGCCACAGGTTTTTGCCTTATAGAGGTTATCTGAAAACAAAAATCGCAAGATTTTTTACAAATTTTCAAAGAAGCAATATTTGCGGGGAAGTTTGTAATAAAATAGCCATAAAATATAACACTAATTTTACCACCGTATTTTATTTAATTAATCCTTCTTATTTCAAGATCATTACACTAATTTTGAAAATAACGTAAAACAAAGAAGCAGCCATTTTTCATATTCAAAGTTCGTTTGTTCACCCCTCGACAACTAGTAACGCCACCTCAAAATTTTACAAGAAAATTTGAACATTAATCTAGAAAATACAAAACCGTTTGCTTATAAATCTTGAAAATGTTTTACTTTATTAACTTGGTGGGTCGCCAAGCAAAATTTGTTTGTCTAACCCCTCCAAAACTTAGATGACGTCACTTGAAAAGTTGCGAAGTCCTATCTAAAATGTGTAAAGCAACAACATTTTTCGATTCACCTGCTGGATTACTTTTATATTACTTAATTTTTTCGAAATTATCTTGCATTAAAAGCTTCATGTGCCCGAATGTGAATTATTAAAATACTAAACTCTGACCGTTTTTAAAGTCTTTGAAGCGAAAATTTCGAAATTCTTCAGATATTTAACGAACGTAATGTGA